TGAATTGTTCAAATGGCTCCTAATGAAATTTTTGGCCTCATGAAGTGATCAGCTTGGAATGACTTTCCCTTCTATGAAAATATTTAAATACAAACAAAGTCTGCCAATGTGTTCAATTACAGTCATGCAGGGAACTGAAGGGATTATGTGTACTAGGAGTATATTCATGTGGCTTTTCAGATCAGCTGCTTCTACCAAAAAGGGAATAAAGTAAGCAGAAAAGCCCCAAAGAGAGACCATCACTGTTGGAATGGCTTGGGACATGATCATTAGAAAAGCTCACTGTTATTTCCATAAGCCCATAATGCTTATGGCCCTGTAAATAAAAATACATTAACAACACATTGCTTTTCAAACTAATTGAGATGCAGTGTGAAGATTACTTTCCAGAAACAGGACGTTCTTCATGCAGGAGATCATACTGGGCCCTGCTGCAACAAGAGCCATTGGGATATCGCTGTATTTTGTTCTAACAGCTGCATTTATTACCAGTGAGAGACTTTCTGTGACATTATGAGGTTGATTCAGTCTTGCAAAGCTCTTGAGAGTTAAATACTAGTGTTCCAGGAAAGAAACTTGTGGGCCCAGTGCAGGACCTTAAGACTGAATCAGCAGAGGAGGTTTTTAAAAGAGAAGCAAGGAAATAAACTGCATATTCTGCTGATGATTTTTATGACCTTGCTCACACTTCTGCTGATGCTGTGTTAGCAAGAACAGTTCATTCCAGTAAGTTTAATCCTTGCTCTTGTGATTATAGACACAAGTTTCTCTAAAATCTCCAAAATCAAATGCAATTTTTTAGAGTGTGAAATTGTTAGAAAGTCACAGGCTTTTAGACAGTGCCATGATTTCAGGAGCCTGAATAATACCTGCAGCTTCAAGCACCAAACTTTAAGAAAGATTTAAGAAAGAAAAAATGGTACAGCGAAAGGAGCAATAGAATGAGAAATGTGCAGTAAACAGAAGCTGGGCTATTTTTTTGCCTTTTGGGTTTGGAAAAAAAAAAAAAAAAGAGATGAAGACTTTGAGTTTAATTAGTCTAAATCAGAGAAGGTTTTTATTTTCCCCATAAAAAGTTACAAAGTGGATCAGTAATCTGATGTATTCCACAGTTTAATTTGCTGCAAAAAACCTGAAGCTGAATTTTCCTTTCAGAACTTTTTTGTTGCTCCTGTGACTCCATCACTGATGAGCACAACTACTGCCAGCTCCTCAAGCTTGGGGAAACCTGATTTTAAAATCATATTAAAATCCAGTGGACAGAGCCTAAGGGTTTGTCTTCCCTACCTTTAGTCATCCAAAGCCGAGGTGTATAAATGCAGCTGGACACGTCTGCTCCCTGAAGTGACTGAGGAGAAATAGCAACAAAGAGCTTCTTCACAGAGGGCAATTTCCAGCTCACTGAACTTCGGTGAAGTAAATCCTGTCCTAACTCATCTCTGAGCATTTGCTCTTGGGCTTTGCTTTCAGCTGGCTGATGACACACTCAGCAGGTGCATAGCTTCTCTGTTTCGCTCATGCAGCAGCACCTCGCTGGCATTTCTGAGCAGTCTGGCACCATGGGCACTCCTCTGTCACCTGTCCTTCCCATCTCTTCAACCTCTGACACTGTCCACACCTCTTTGTCTCCTCATCTCTCCTCCTCATTCTGAAACACCTCATTCCTGCACTTTGGCATCCCTTTGCACTGACTGGATTTTCCTCCTATGGATCTGTTTTATCTCTGGCTGCAGCTTTCACTAACGCATTCACTGCACGCTGCCCCTCTGACAATGTTTTACTGCTTCCGTGTCTTAGGGGAGTCAGTGGGACAAGAAAAAGACGCAATGTCAAGTGTTAAGTGGCTTGTTAGCCATGCAAATTCTTGAATAACAGATACGATTTAAGTTCACCATGAGAGCTGGGAGGGTTGGAGCTGCAATCACACTTCTGACTCTGCCACTATCTTCCTCAGTGACCTTGTGTGATTTATTTAACCTCTTGGGCCCAGGTTCACCTGAAAATAAAGAATAATGTGATTTTTTCCCCTTAGGAATCTTAACTAATATATTTGTATACAATACTTGAAATCCTGTTTATGTAAATGAAAAATGCTTATCTTTTTTCTTTAAAACATTTACGAAAGGTTAAGAGAGTTTTAGGGTCAAAAGATAAACATTTTGGAAGAACTAGAAAAATGAAAATTACACATGTAAGCACTTATCACAAACCTTTAGACAGCCTCTAATTAAATAATCACTAGTTCTCTGCATTACAGTAGATACTATCATAAGCTGTTAAACTGTGTAGCAGCTTGTAATACTGTGCACTCTGTTTATACAGGATAAGGACTCTCTGGAAATTATTCAGATTAATGTATCATCTTCTGTGTGCTTTACTTGTGCATAGTCAGTCAGGGTTGAGATGTTCCCATGCTCTGCTCTGCAAAAGCCTGACTGGGAACAGTTTTTTCCTGACAGGCCAAGATAATGACTTGCAGATGCCAAGCTGTGTATTCAAACGCACAGATCTTCCATCCCTTGTGAGGCTTTAGCCAGACCTGTTGATGGTGCACAACCTTGGCAACAGTTCCTGCCAACAGCCAGATTTCGCTGAGAGGAGGATGCTCAGGAAAGGCTCTCCAGGACATCAGTTTTTCTTGAGCTTTTATGTTCAGAGAAAAACTACCTCACCAAGTAGGTGACCTCTCCTGCTATGGCCGCTCTGCCCACTGCTCCTTTCTTCCTCTGCCACATCTCCATGCCAGCCCCACCTTCTGACCCCCACTCTTCCCGTCTCGAGTCTGCTCTAAAAACAGTTGTTCCCTTTTTGCCAGTTCTCCCTCTTCCTCAGCCCCAGAGCCACAGTTAATCCTGTACCCCTTGCTGTGGCACTGCTCGACTCAGAGAGCTCGAGCCCTTGGCTTGGCTGAGCTTTGCTTGAAGCACAGAGAAGAAAGCCTGGAGGCTGAAAGGGTGGAATTAATCTCCAGCAACAGCAATTTACTCTTCGTTCTAAGATCCAAGAGATCCTTTTTCCTCACCTGAATCACTGGAATAGGGAGTGATACCCCTCTGATATCCAGGGTTGCCATAGGTATCCACTTAAAATTGCTTGGAGAAGGCAGAGTTGAGGCTGGAGGGCACTGATTTTCTCCAGCATCATCTTCCTGATCCCCTTGCTCCTGAGTAGAGCTCAGCAGAGTCCAGAATGCGAGGTGTGTTACCTCTATCACAATGCTACTGTGCTACAGGCACTTGGATAGTAACAGATGAAAGGAGAAATTAAAAGACATTAGTGAGAAAATAAGCTGCTTTCATTTGAGATTTGAGCCAACAGACTAAAACTGTGTGATTTGGTACGAAAACGATGAAGTTTAAGGGTGGTACAGGGAGAAAATTATCCTTGTATCGGTAAAGAAAGTAGTTTTAAAATAGGAACCTCACTCTAGGGTTACTAATGTGGTTTGCAAACTTTCACTTTTGTATTGTCATTTATTATTGAAACATGCCCATTTGATTTGCTGGGGAATGAGTGAGTTTAGCTAGCATCTGGTCTCATCTCAGTGCACCTTTGCTGGTGGCTATTCTGTCCTCATCACACACGGGCCAGCAGCCACGCTTGCTGCCCCAGCAGAGGACCCTAAACACACCTGGTTATTCACACAGTGCCAAGCATATGCGAAGGGCTGTGTGATCCATGAAACCTGGTGGACACCAGCCAGCTGCTGTCAAAGTAATTACATGGAACAGCCCAAAGAGCACAGCTCCTAAAGCTCAGAGTGAATTATCCTGGAGGAGGCTCAGGGGTGACCTTATTGCTCCCTGCAACTAACTCCCAGGGAGGAGGCTGGAGCCAGGTGGGGGTCGGGCTCTTCTCCCAGGGCACAGGACAAGAGGACAGTTGTAAGATGCACCAGGGGAGATTGAGACTGGTCATTAGGAAGCACTTCTTCAGAGAATGGGTGATTGGACACTTGACTGGGCTGCCCAGGGATGCGGTGGAGTCACCATCCTTGGAGGTGTTTGAGTAGACTGGATGCGGCACTCGGTGCCTTGGTCTGGTTGACATGGTAGTGTTGGGTCATAGGTTGGTCCCGACGATCCCGGAGATATTTTCCAACCTAATTCTATGATAAATCCAGCCTCAGAAAAGGCGAGACAGCGCTGGTGGTGGCTTCCCTGCTCCCGCCCGGGCGGTGAGAGACAGCCTGGCCCGGGAGTCTGACCGTCGCATCCCAGCCACGCAAGGGTGGCGTCCCCTTCGCACGCAGCAGCCCCGGGCCCCCCGCAGGCTCCAGCGCGGCTGCTCCAGCCCCGCGGGCCGACAGCGGGGCCCGCCGGGATCTCCCGGGGCGGCGGCGCCGGGAGCGCCCGGAGCCCCCTCAGGGCGGCCCCGCCCCGCAGCGCGCGGCCGCAACGCGCGAGGGCGCTGCGGCGCGCGCGGACGTGTCCGCTCCCACAATGCCCGGCGGGACCCGCGCGCCGCCGCCCCGCTGCCCAGGTACGGCTTGCGCCCCCCGCGCGGGGCCGGCGCCGTGAGGGGCGCGTGCGGGCGGGACCCGCGGCCGGAGCCGCCGCCCGGCCCTGCCCGCCCGGCCCTCGCCGCGGCCTCGCCTCCCCTCCCTTCCCATCCCGCCTGCCCTCCCCTGCCGGCCCCAGGCCCGGCCGCGGAGCCTCAGGGCCGGCTGCGTTGGCGACTCAGCCGCGGTCGGCGCGGGGCCGCCGCCGCCGTCTCGGGGGTGCCGGTGGCGGCGGCAGCGCCGCTGTCGCGGGCAGGGCGGGCGCGGGAGGCAGCGAGGGCCGCTCGGGGCTCCTGGCAAGCGCCGCCCGGTAGCGGGAGCCCGCTGTATGTAGGGGTCTCCGCCGCCCTCCAGGGTCTGCAGGAGATTGTGTGAAGTTTTGTGATCTGGAGCGGTGCGGATCCGCCTAAGTCAGTGACCACCGAGTCAGCGCTTCTGCTGCAGCTCCAGATGGTCGTGTCGGAGCTGCCACGTAAGTAGGTGGTAGGTGAAAGGATCAAACTCCCAAAATTTGGGACGCAACTTCTTCCGTTCCCTTACTTTTTCAGAATTGTTTGGACGTTAGGATGAATTTCTTCAGAAGGGTTGATTATATACTGGATTGGGAAGCTAGGAAGGTGATGGAGTCACTGTGTCTGGAGCCACTTGTTAAGGAAAGACTGGATGTGGCACTTAGCGGTGGCTGGTGACGTGGTGCTGGCAAGTCACAGGTTGGACTCGAAGATCTCAGAGGTCTTCTCCCACCTCATTGATTCTGTGAATTTTGATTCTGCCTCTGAGGTCTCTTTCCCTCTGGCTTTATGGAAAGGATTATATTGGCTGGTGATAAAGGATTATTCCCTTGTCTCATACCTGGTGATGTCAGTGTAGCTTTATTTGTTGTGTACTTCTGTGGTGCTCCAGTTTGTACCACGAATTTCTGAAGTATGTACAGTGAAAAAATTAAGGCTCCTTCCTGTGTAGTGCAGCTGTCACAACCCTCAGAAGCAGGGGCAATAAATTGTCCAACAGTATTAGCTATACTTAAAGAAAACACGGAAATTTTATCTTTATTTTGTGTCAGACAGGAGTGCAGCTTGCACACACTTCCCAGTTTTATATTTTCTGGAAGGTTTTTATGGGAGGCAGGCATCCCAGCAAGAAAGGCTGTGATTAAGTTGGCTGAAGGCTATCAGGTGCATGAGGGTAGGTTTGCCATTACACTAGATCTGCTCAGAATTTTGCAAAAGCTAGATTTTCTTAAGGTGAAATATCCTGAGCAAATCCTAGTCACAGATCACTTTCAAACACTTCTTAAAAGTGTTAAAAAACTATGTCAGATAGGTTTAAAACAATTAAGGATCAGATCACAAGTTAGATGATGAATTTGTTACAAAAGGCTGGAATGTTACAGTTTCTATTTTCAGGGTTTCTAGGACTTTTCTAGATGCTGCTTCAGGATCAAGTACCATTATAACATGGAAATAAACAACATGATAATTGAATATGTCTTAAAAAAAAAGCACAGTGAAACAGGCTCTGGTTTCCATCACCTGAGGTTTCTCATTCATGGGAGGAAATGAAACCAGGCACATGTGCTAATTCCTAGTTGTGAAACAGTGGATGCTGACACGTGCATGAGAAATTGGACAGCTCTTGGGAAGGTGGAGTAACAGAGGAATAGCCACCCTGCTGACCCTTACCTGTCTGTGGCCACCTTTCTCCATCCTCCTCTTTTCCATGAATTCTCCCAGTCCTCATTTGCAGTGAGGGCTGTGGAGGGGAAATCAATAACGATGGGGCAGAAGTAAATTCTAACTAAGGGAAACAAGAATGGTGCAAGCATGGAGTGATGCTTCTGTGATGTACTGTCCCTGTTGGTGTTCATGTGGGGGTCAGAATCATGCTGAGCAAAGGGTTGTGATTTGATTTTAATACCCCTGGTAGTTTTCTGTGAACTTTTCCAGTTGCCTCTTAAATTCACATAACATGTGAATTTAATGGACAGCAGCCTGTGACAAAGGGTTCCACTGGCTGGTGAGATGTTTTCAACCTTTGTCCTTTGTCATCTTCAGGTGGTTGAGGGATATAGAATTTTTGGAGGAAAACATATGAATTTAGTAGCAATTTGGTGAATTACTTAAAGCAGCTTTGAATAGATGCTTAAAAAAGATATGTAGAGGTAGCTCTAAAAGCACTGCCATATCTTTCTTCAACCTCTAAATGTATAAGTGCATATCAAATTTACCACTTGACTCCTTGTGTAAAGGTGTATTGTTTTGAGAACTGGGTAAAGTAGATTTAGTAAACTTTTTTTTTGTTAATACATTTTCAGGTAATGCTGACTGTTCTGTTACAGTATGTGTATTATACATCTCTTGACATATGTATGGTCTTCCAAAGTAATTTTCTTTTATTAGCTCTGGTTTTTAGATAGCTTTCTGATTCTGCTGTTAGGAGGCTGAGAAAAAAGTTCATATTTTCACTGGGTGGATTTTTAAGATGAAGGTAACAAAACCTAACTGGTGCCAAGATCTTCAGCTCAACACAATTTCTACCTTGCATGATTTCGTAGTTTGTTGAGAGAATTGGCTTGTTTCACTAGAACCTTGTCTTCTGTTACAGAGTGTATTTCTCTAAATACAAGTAGGGCTCTTGAAGAAAGTTTTGTTCAAGATTTCTGCAAATATTTATTTACATACAGAATAGACATAAAAGTTGAAAGAATACCTCTAAAGATGTCTTCATCATTTGCTTTGTCTGTTGTCTATGCATACATGCTGTTAGTGGTATTTATGTTCTTCGTCCTCAGTTGTAGGAGCAAAGAACTGTGATGAGATTGGACACTGAAAATCTTAATGCTTTGGAAATAGAGCTGTGGTTGTGCTGTGCTTCGTTCCTGAAGTGTTCTGAGCAGAGGAGATTATGGATTAATCAAGCATAGCAAATGAGGGGAATGATGGAGTTCAAAGTCAAAGGTTGCGTAAAGCTGAGTTACTCCTGTACTGTGCAGACAGATAACATGTTTTCCCATTTTAAACACCTCAAGTGATGTGACTTCCTGAACTTCACTTAAAGAACACAGAAACATTTAAATATCTCTGTTATCCTAGTTTTCCTTTGAGTATCTTTTGAGTAACCTCCCTTGGCTATGTTCAGGCCTTTCCAATATGGCCTCACAAAAAGAGCTGAAGTGTGTTTATACTCGGTAAATATGTTTATTAACTTTTTCTGTTTGTTCTTATCAGATAGCTCAACATGAACTTTAACCATCGAGATCATTTAAAAAGTGAACAGAATAATATCTTTTCTTCAGAGAGCTGGCTGCGTGACTCTGGGTTTCTCCTGCAGTGCAGTCCTATTCACTGCCTTTTCCTGAAACAGGACATGGAGCTATGTTCCTTTCTTCATGTTAGGTGCTAAGGAAGTTACTTGTTTCATCAGGGGAAATGCAGATCCATGAAATTACATTTTGTGCAAGTAAGTTAATGAAGGGTTATTTAAAGTTTGCTATCACATCATTGCTCTTTTGTTTAAATTGATACAGCTCCCAAACATCCCTGTCAGGATTGAGTTCTGAGTGGTAGAGGTGCTTATTGTCAGAGAACCACTGCAGTTTAAAGCTCCTCTGCAATTTTGTCATGCTCTTGAGCTGCTGTCTTGTTTATACAGTTAGGAGCGTAGTTAAGAAAATGAGTCCATGTGCATTCCATGTGAATTGTCCTTCTAGGAACATGAACTCAGATATAGGTAAAAGTTTCTAGAACTATGGGTTTAGTTTCTTGACTGCTCCATGCCAGCAAGCTGATCTACAGGAAGTCCTGGAGTTGGGTTTGTTTTCTGGTTTTGTATCCAGCTGATGGAAGCACTTTGTTCAGGAGGGAATTCTCTAGTGAAGTGCTGAAATAACAAGAGCACCTGATAAAAGCCTCAAGGTGTTCAGCAGGCTGCAGTCAGCAGTGGCTTCCACTGCTGTTACAGCTTTGGGGAGAGTCTGATGGCGCTGTACAAGTAAAATACAAGGCTATTAATTTGGAATTTATTCAGCTAATGTGATGGATCTCAGAGGAGGTTGAAGTTTGACTGCTGATGAAGCTGGATTTACTAAACTGAAAATGACAACACATTTTTAGTGCTTTCATTATTATGCGTCTTTCTCTCTGAGGAGTAAATAACCTTGAAAAGCCTGAATATTGTTGATTATTCATTAAGTATCCTGATGGATATATAATCTTTGGGGAGTGGGAAATAGAGAAGATGAGAGTTCAGGTAAAAAATAGCTATTGCCTCTCTTTTGTGATGAGGTAGTGTCTTTTTGGGGAAAATTTGGATTTCTGACTTGTGAGAATGCAGTCATTCAGCTGCTGAGGCTTATAAAACACCCTTAACGTCATAGTTTGAAAGGTGCTGTAAAGATATCAGTATCACACACAAAAGCATATTTTATCTGTATCCAGAAATCTGTTTCTTTTTGCAGTTTGTGACTGTATGGAACTTGAGTAGCATCATCTGAGGGAGGCAAAAATATTTTTTCATAGTGTCTGAAGTGATAGGTGTAGTATATGGTAGGAGTCTGCAGAGCAGTGTTAAGAGCTGAGGAAGTGTTTTCTTTTGGCTTCATATAAATTCTAGCAGTTCGCCCACTTGTAGGAGAACAAAATTGTGTACTGATGCTTAGCAGATAAGTAATCCTTTTAATACTTGCCTTGCTAAACTTTTGAATGTTTTGATTTAATGTAAGGTTTGAATAACTCTTTTGTGGCTTGTGTAGACTAGTAGGTCCTGTTCAGTTAAGACTCTAGTTTGAGTTATAGTTGGAAATCTTAACTGTGCCCCAGTTTAGGCCTGAACCCACTGTAGAGCTTGAGAAGTTTGATTGATCACAGTTGACTCTGTTTCTGCTTTTACCTTAATTCTGATTCCTCCTGATTTATGTTTTGTTGCAGGTTGTTGTTAACTCAGTTGGCAATGTCTATGATTTTATCTGCTTCTGTGGTCCGTGTGAGGGATGGACTCCCACTTTCTGCATCTACTGATTATGACCAGAGCACGGGAATGCAAGAATGTAGAAAATATTTTAAAATGCTCTCAAAAAAACTTTCTCAGCTTCCTGATAGATGTACTCTGAAAACTGGACAGTATAATATAAAGTAAGGCTTGTCATTTAAGTATTTGCAACATCCTAGGTTGTGTCTCTCTGTAAGTGAAAAAGTTAACTGTTCACATTAGAAGTGTGTTATCAAGCTAAGATTAATTCTTGGCGCTATTTATGTATCAGAAATTTAAAATCGAGAAATTGTAGAAAGATTTGGACCTATTCAGACTTTCATGGGAGTTCCTTTGTAATGGCACAAAGTCATAGGACATTATGGGAAGAGTGGCTTTACACTGAAAGAGTATGTTTGGATTAGATATTCGGTAAGATCTTCTTTATTGTTTATAGTTCACTTGCACTTTAACTGACATAAATTCTGGCTCTAATTTTGAAATTTTAAATGAGGTGAGTAATTTCATCATAACTCCTAGTTAACCATGTAGAAATTAGAGTGGTGGAAAGGGTACCTACCATCTGAATGATCCTAGAAAGTGCTAAGACCTCTCCATCTACTATAGGGATGTGTGAGTTTCCAGCATTTCTTGGATTAAAGCCCAGGACGGACTAAATAGTTTCAGGGTTTATTTTTTTGTTTGTTCGTTTGTTTTTGTTTTGTTTTGTTGTTGACAGGCCAACTACAATTGGCCTGGAAACTGATTAGCTTAAAACAAACATTTAAAAATGAGGTATTAATCAGGGTAGATTTTATTGCTTTTGTCTTTGATTACTTTTTGTACTGTAGGTTATCCAGCAAGATTTGAAAGAAATTGGAATGTATCATGAAAATTGGAACTCTGATGAATTTCCTAAATGCAACAGAATATGTATATTGAAAACTGTCTTTTTCTGATTTCATTATTTGCCGTCTCTTGTTGTCCTTGCAACTGTCTTTGGAGAATTATTAATTCTGCATTCTGCAGAACAGTTTTATTCCTGTGTTCTAGAAAGAGCCAAGAGCCCTCCCCCCAATCTGAAGAAAAGGTTTTGCATTTTTGGGCTGCACCAGATCATATATTGTACATCTGAGATGAGTGAAAAGCTGTTATGGGACAAACCTGCTGTGTTTCTGCATCCTAAAACTTAGTTATTTTCTGTTTCACAAGTGTGTGTATATGTGTGCACATGCACACATATAGACAGACACATACATGTAAAACAGCTTCTCATATGATTGTACAGTGTGGTGTTCAAGTAAAACATTGCCTAAAAGTAACTTGTTTTTCTTTTAGAATAATGTTGGACTTTTCAGTAAACATGTATTCCTTTGCTAGCCCAGATAAGTTTTTGTTTTCCTGGTTATAGAATATGAGATCAGACTAGAAAAGCAGTTAACTCACTGAATTTAAATTTGAAATTTTGGATATGTTTTCTCAATTCTAGCTTTATAAGTTCTCTGGGAGTAAGCTATATGATGCTGTGCACTGAAAATTATCCCAGTGTCCTGGCTTTCTGTTTCCTGGATGAGCTTCAGAAGGAGTTCATCACTACCTACAATATGATGAAGACGAATACTGCTATCAGACCATACTGTTTTATAGAGTTTGGTAAGGAGCTGCCCTTTTCTCCTTCATTCTCATACTAAGACAAATGAGTATTTAAATAGATGCAACTTAATGCACACAAAAAAAAAATGTCCAAAGCTGTTTATAGCTCTATTTCAGGTGGATTTAGAATCCGATTTAACTCCTGTTAGAGTCAATAAAGAAATGCTTCTGGGGGCATTAAATTAGGCTATTGGAGTTTTATCCAAACTTAGTTCCGTTCATTCCAGTAGGTTTTCATTTAAGCCTTGTGTGACCAACTCTGGAGTTCATCTTCTGGCTAATACTAGGAGTTGTTTGACTTCATACCTGTTGAAATACTTAACCTGTGAAGTCACTGAGCTTCTTAAATTTCTCAAGTAAAAGATTGCAGTTTCATGTTAGCTCTTAGCTGTGCTTCCTTTTGTTCAATACATGAAAGGGAGAAATTTTTATTTGTCTGATAATGTAGTGGAACATTTAATCTTCAGACTCCAAATGCAGCTTATATATACCAGATAACAGCTGTTGTGAATTCCATTAATTTATGTTATATATTAGAAATTACTGTAATTAGATATTCTTATAAAACACATTTGAGCAAAAAGAGCTGCAGTTTTAGAAACATGGGGGAAGATACTTCAGTTGGTTAATTCCTGTCTATAATTCAATCAGTTATTGACAATATCTGTATAACATTATTGTCCTCCTTGTGAAGATTTCTATGAACACTTTTTTTCTTCCACAAGGTAATTTTGAATAAGGATATTTACTAAATTAACAGAAAAGCTTGAAGTGCAGCAAATCCTTTGTATTAGAAATGCATTCAGTCTCATGAAATGAAAAGTCATTTGTTTATTCTGTTATTACATAATTAGATCTTTAGAGCTTAATTTTTTTTTAACTGCAGAATTAAATAGCCCATGATGTATTAGGCACAAAACAGAAATAGCATTAAAAATCCAAGATAAATGCAAGTATTTCAAACAATATATTTCAGTTTGTGAACTGAAAAGTTGCATGGATTATGTAATTAACAAAGTCCATAGAAAAGTACCTTTTTATTTTAAATTTTGCAGATAATTTCATTCAGAGGACCAAACAGAGATACAACAATACACGTTCTTTGTCAACAAAGATGAATCTTGCTGATATGCAGACAGAAATCAAACTGAGACCACCATATCAAATTTCTGTGTCAGAACTTGGTTCAGCCAATGGCTTTTCTCATATACCTGTGGGGGAGTATAAGGGTACTGGTAAGATATCTGCAGGTAAGTTCCAGACTTGCATTGTTGTATCCTTAAATGAGACAGATGCAGCAAAATTCTTTTCTTCAAAAAAAGAAGCTTTTATTCATTTTTCCAAAACATAAAGCTGGTATGACCTTATGTGCATTTTAGCTCAGATGTCTGTTTTGTCTCCTGCTCCAAATACTTACCTTCCCAAGGCACTCAGAGGAAGAAATGACTCTGTTCAATGAACTGCTTTATTGAAGGAAGAAAACCTTGCAAATGAAGATGAGCACTTACCAGAAGATGATTTTTATTTTTTTACCTTTTAACATTTCTGAAAATACTGATATTTTTGCCTAGTAAGACTCAGTGTTGACATCAGCTGAGGGCAGTGTCAGGAGTTGGAGTAGCTGGAGGGAGAAGCATCTCTTTAGGAATCCTCTACAATGGTGAAAATCCAAAGAGCTGTGCTCACTCAAAGATGCACTCTCTAAAATGAGTGCCTTGTGTACAATATTAAAAATTGCAATTTTGTATAAAACTGCCAAATTCATTTAAGTAGTCATTAATTTTTTAAAACTTTAATTTATTTCATGTAGGCAGTAAATGTGGAGTTATGGGGTTGAGCTGGGTTAAAGGTTTGTGCTATTAAGTGAATCCTCTGAATGGGTTTGAGGTCCACCTTCAGATGTTTCCCAGCAAGACAGAAGCAAAATGCCAAATCCTTGCACTGATACATGGACTTGACATGTGATACTGACATCATCTGATTTCAGTCATCCAAATTTAGTGAAGCAAAATCGTAAATAGAATGGAAGGAAGTGTTGATTTTAATTAGTTAATATATTTCCCTTTTTTTTTTCCCCAAAAGTGCTTCTTTTTATAAATTATCCTGAGCAGGCACACACTGATGCTGTTCACTTTACAGTGTCAGGGTGCAATCATAAATCATAGAATTGCAATCATAAATCTTAACACCTCCTACAATGTTGTAATAAATGAGATTTTGTGCAGTTTATGTATATGTATATATTAATAGGATCTCTTTTCCAGTATTTTATCCTTATTATGTACTTACTCATGAGGATTACTCTAGAAGATTGAAAACTGCTTTCTATGGAAGATGAAAACCAAACAAAATGAGTAGGGTGACCTGTTTGTACTCCAGGGCCCTGATTCTGAGAATTCCAGGTGCTATGAGACAGTGTAGAAATAGCTTGCAATCTCTGTGTTTGCAATTTGACTGTATTTGAGTTAGATTCAGGAAAATTAGGAAGGGAAAAGTGTGAAGGTTTTAAATTGTTTAAAAGAGTGGAATCTTCTAAACAGTACTGTACATACCTTTGTCATCTTCTTCCGTGTGTGGGCTCTTTTTAAAGGTGTGTAATGCTGTGATACCACTCTTTTGCCACTTTTGATTCTTACATTGTTTTTTACTCTTAATGTTTTCATCTAATCCTGCTTTGTGGAAAGGCTTATGGTGGCAAAAGGGGCAGCTGGTTAACTGAAAATTGTATAGATTCGAACTTCCTGCAGTTGGAAAAATAAAAGGCAATAAACACGAGAGAATTCAGCCTGTGTCAAAATTGGCTGGTTTTTTAAAAGTTGCCCATGTAGTGGGGGATGTGTTTTTTGTCACTTTTTTTGAGTAAGAGTGTTGGAAGGTAATATAGACCTAAATTAAAAAAAACATTGGGATCATTTCCCTTTTAACTAAAATAGAAGATTCAGCAATAATTGGCAGGTGATCTTCTATTTTTTTTTACTTACCTCTCCACAATTTCTTACAGAAGCAGTTCTGTTGTCCTCTTTCCTTTCCATGTCATTTTTCTTCTGTTTCTCTTTCAATTGCTTTTAACTTTCTTCTTCCTCTTAATTCCATAGATCTCGGTTCAGTTATCCACTTCCTTCCTTCAGTTGCTGTAGAAACTCACCATCAAAGGGCTGTACATTTTGACAGGCTGGCACTTTGCTATTTCTTCAGCTCTTCACATTTTAGATGCTATTGAATAACAGTGTCTTTTTTAGAAAGTCTGCTAGTGGTTTTGTAGTTCTTTACATTCATCACTTCTCTCCACCCTTGAAAAGAACTTTCTCTGGATGTTTGCTGCCCACGCAGTTGGCTGGACTTCCAGATTTCTCCTTTGCTCTAAGGACAGATTCTTACAAAAAAATGTTTTGCCTAGTGGAATTTCCTGAATATGCTGTACTGTTAAAAAGTAGGACTTTCTGGAGTGAACTGTGTTAAATGAAGTTGGAGAGCATCCAGAGGTGGGAAGTTAGGTGGATGCAAATCTTGTTTAGTTGTGCAGAGTGGCAGGCATTAGCTTGGGCCATGGGGGGAAGCAGTGGCTCTCACTTGCTCACACTGTGACTGGATGTGTAGCCAGGGTGTGGAGTCCAGGCCTACTGTGCTGGCACTGCTTGCAGTAGCAGCCCTTTTCCCTCTGAGAGTTGTGCAGTGCAGTGAGGAGTAGGGGTAATTCTACATGTGGGAAGCATAAAGTGTGCAGATTATGGATAGAATCTTCCTGCAAAGGTACATGTAGGTGTTGGCAGGCATTAGAAATAGGGTCACAGCATGCTGATGTGTGATGTTTCAGGTTAGGATAAAACTATTATTTTCTGAGCTTTTTTTCAGTGAAGAAACAGTTGTCAGATCAAAGTTTTTTTTTTTGCTTGATACGGTATACTCCATGCTTTTGGGTTTTTTTTTCACATTTTAGTTTTAAATAAACTTTCTTACAAGTAATGTAGTTTCTCATGTCATATAAATTTCCTGAACTTTTATTTAAATGTCAACATTAAATTCAGAATTAATGCTTTATTTGAACTGAGAATTTTTGATATGGCACTTAAGCATATTTCCAAGTTTGGTGGCTGTACCAATTTGAAGTCAACTGTCCTTTACCCTGCCTTCTCTGACAATTCTTCTTAATTCTTTTGGTTTTGCCTTCATCTTTTGTATATAAATGATTCTTGTGGCTTTGATGTAACACTAAAATTTGTTAAGCTCTGTAGAGTTTAATGACATTAGTAATGGTACATAATGTCCTTTATATTTTTTTGATTTATTTTTCATATTTTAGTAAGAGAGAGGTTACTATTTTATGATCTTCGTAGACTCTGTTGATTTAGCTGACCAGACTCTTTACTTTCCCCCCATGGTTCTCAAAGAGGTGTTATAGAAGCTGTTACAGTGCACAATGATTTTAAGTTACCCAGTGCATGGGGAAAAGGAGATTTTCTGAAGAGCTGGAGAGCAGAGAGCAAATTTTATCCACCAGTTAATGGATAGAATTACTTTTGGCTAAAAACAGTCATATACACCCTCAGCTTTTTGCTAGTCTCTGGCTGAGAGGGTTTTAAAAAAGCCAAAACAAAACAACCAGTTTGGAGTCATTGAAAAAGAGTGGTGGTGTATGCAAAGAGCACATTTATCATATCTAACCTTAACTGAGTGATTGCTGGGAGTAATGTGCCCTACAGTTAGAAAACCAATGAACTCTCAAAGTTAAACATGGGTTATGCTTTTCTTTATGAAAAAACACAACTGCTTATACACTACTAAATTCAGCACAAATGAATTAACTGAACTCATCCTGTATTTTATTTTTGTGTTATTGTGCACTCATAATTAGACAGCCCTGCCTGCTTATCAATAGCTTTTGTTGGGGCTTTTTTAGGTTCTGTAACTTCATAAGCTGTTTGAAAAACCTTTTTCCTGGGTGTGTGCAATACAAACAACTGGGATTGACACCCCTCTCTCTATTAATGTTACAGTTCATTAACTTCATTGTTTACATCTTTACACTTGGTTGATTTGAACAGAATGATTTGAGTACAGCTCAGTAGTCCCATTGTTACCCCAGTGTTGCCCAGACTGTTAAGAGTTTTGCATTGTTTTTTCACATTTGCTTTCTGTTATTCATTATGGAAAGGGACAGTAATGAGGAACATACATAACTGTTACATACTTGTACATGTCTTGTGACCCTAGATAAGCTTGAAAGAGTGGGTATGCATGGAAAGAGTGTTTTAATTTTGTGTTTTACTTGTAAAAGGCTAAGCACAATCTGGAAGGTGCATATAAGATTGCAAAAGAGATCCCAGCTGAGTTTCAGAGCAGTTTCTTCATGTGTGTCTTTGGTAGCACTCGCTGTGTTTTTAAGGAAGGGGACTGTGATAGCTCTGCCTCAGTGATCTGTTCAGCAAACAAGCTAAATCAGTCTCAATATCTCACTAATGCATTAATGTTAAAGAAGAGTGGGGATTGTGAGAAAAGGTCTTAAGTATGTGACTTATTAGCTGGTTCTAGTAGTGGACAGATTTCACTAGCAAGTGCATCTTTTACTATTGATTTCCTGGCATGTTTGGGCAGCCATCAGTACCCTACCGAATAACTGGAAAATATTGAGATAGAGACTAAATATATCAATTATATATATCAATTATAAATCTAAACTGGAGGAAAGTTTACTTTTTGCTAAACCTTGTGCTGAAACATTTACAATGTTTCGTATTTTTAGAAAACAGAAATGACATTTTGTGGTTTGTTTCAGCAATTTCTTGAGCTAAAAGCCACTGACAAATGAGATTATTATTTTACTGAATTTCTGAAGGCATTGCTTTGACCTTTGATATCTTTTTTTGATCTGCTTTGCAGCTCCTCATCAGCGTCTGGAACCTGTGACTCTGCCAGGGATTGTCTCATTTGTGCTTAGTCTGTTATGTGGAGCTTTGAATTTAATCCGTGGCTTCCATGCCATAGAAAGCCTTCTCCAGGTATTGTACAAGTGTATGAATTTAAAAGTTATGCATCATAGCAATCACAATTTTTGTTTTAGAAGATGCTGTTTGATGAGTTGTGCCAGTTTTATTTGAGAAGTACTGTTTGTGAGGTCAGGCCTCTGTTACAAAATCTGTATTGTTTGTGATCCCTGCATCCTCCTTGAGTGTGCTGCCTCATTCATCGAGGCTGTGATTTCAACAGCAGTGGAAGGTGGGTGGCCAACTCCTTCCCTGGTACCTTGGTAGCGGTGAGGATGTGAACATAATGTTCTGTTTTCTAAATTTATGCCAGGGTGTGAGGCGTTTAATTTCTATAGATGCTATTTAAAAACGTTTGAGTGAAATAATGAACAGCTTTGAAAATCTGGGCAGTTTTATTGAAAAGTCCACAGAGCGGGAATCTTTAAACAGGTTTTATAAAATAGTTTTTTTTAGAGAACTTTTGTAGTTTTTTGTTTGTATTTAATAAACCTTATTTCTCTTTGTGTATTGTAAGGACCAGTGTCAGAAAATTGTTGATTTCTTCTCAACTCCCCTCCCCAAACTGTCTCCCCTGAACCCATATTTTTTCTGTAAAATCTCTACTATGGCCCTCCCTGTAGCCTTTCAGTTTCTTTCTATTCCATTTCTTCTGCTGGTTGTATTCCCACAAGTGCTACAGTGTCTCTAATAATGGGTCATGCTTTCAAGCAATTCAGGTGAATATGCTGACAGTACTTAGCAGGCATGCACAGAAAGTTATGTGTTGCCACAAAAAAACCAAAGATGTCTTTACCATTTAATGGCTGTTATTGTGGTGATAGACATAGAAACTAAACACCCCATGGATGTTTTCTGAGAGAAAATGGTAATCCTCTTGCTTACTTGGTAGATAGTCTTTTCATTCTAATATATCTGGATTTCATAGAGACATTTAGGTTGGAAAAGACCTGAGTCCAGCCATAACCCAGCACTGCCAAGTTCACTAAACTATGTTCCAAAATGCCACATTTACAAGGCTTTTAAATTCCTTCAGGGGTGGTGATTCAGCCACTTCCCTGGGAAGCTTGACAGCTCTTTCAGTGAAGAAATTTTTTCCCTGGTGCAGCATAAGGTGATTTCCTCTCATCTTACCCCTTACCTGGGAGAAGAGCCCAACCCCCATCTTGCTACAACTTTCTTTCAGGTGGTTGCAGAGAGCAGTGAGTTCTCTCCTGAACCTTCCCTTCTCCAGGCTAAACAGCCTCAGTTTCTCAGATGCTCCTTGTAAGTCTTGGTCTCTAGGCCCTTCAGCAGCCAACTGCGATATTTTTGATACCTAGTGGATTTTTTTAGGTGAAGAAGAATACCTGTATTCGTTATCTTACATAGTATTGATATATGTAAAGATTGAATAAACAGTACTGTTGAGTCTCAGCATTTTGTGAAGACTAGTGGATAGATGAACATTTGTGGAAATGTTTCATGCTAGGTCCTTCTTTTTGAGTTGTCTTTGGTTTGTTTTTTAAAGAAAGGCCAAGTTGAACCTACATCTCTACTTTATCCCTAATTAGGTTTTTCTGTGTTATGTGCATTTCTCTCAATGTATAAATAGGAATGATTTTAAAGTATGCTGTAGTACAAATAGTACTGAACAGATTTCTGTCAGTTAGTGTGATGTTGCTAAAACTTATTTTGTTACCTTTCTGCAGCTGAGTTTTAAAAACGAACACCAATGTTCGATTAATCTAAGTGATGACAGGACATCCAGTTAATTTTATTCTCTGTGTTATTGTATCTGGAGGTAATAGATTTCAGTACGGATGGAAGATAATTTTCATTTCTGACAAATGAGGCACACTAAAAATTCATTAAAATTTCTCTTAATTTACTTTATTATGGAAAAATCCACAAGGTTTAGGGAGAAGTAATCCAAAACTTAATTAATGGAATGTATTGTGAGAAGTCATTCAAAAGCATCTCTCTGAAATTACTGTTTGCTTTATCATCAGTGGTTTTATTTGGGTGTTAGTAAAATTCTGTTACAATCTGTAACTGTACTCCACCAGATACACAGTGGCACTGGGGCAAAGACACACTGGGTAGAAGTTACTGCATTGTGTATGTAATTTTTATGTGCAGACATGCAAAGTTTTTCCTTCACAGCACAGGACATGGAAATACTTCACTCTGAACATACTCTCAGCAGACACAAGTTGTTCTTGTGAATGCACCACCATCTTCTCAAGTGATATTTGCTCTCAAGGACAAACATTTGCATGAGTACCCATTGTTTTCCTTGGAAAGTTTTTGGTGGTTGCAGATGTTTGCTAGAAATGCAGTTAGAATAGTCATTGAGTGTGGAAATCTACTCTGCTCAGCAGAGTATTCTCTTATCAACTTATTCAAACCCATTTGAATAAGTTAAAGGATTTGTTTTCTAAACACATCGTAGAAAAATCTGTCACTTCAAGTAAGTTTTTCTATCTTTCCTTCAAGAGAACCTTATTTTCCAAGTCTGTTGGATAAATTTCTGTGCTGCTGTTTGCTCTCACTGTCTGAGCACAGAGCTGCCTTCGTTATTCTCTGTGTAGAGTTTTATCCCACCCTAGTGGCCAGTTTGTGTCTTTTCCTGTTAACCTCATTTCCATTTTGTGAAACTTTAGGAAGGCACAATTCTACAAAGTTGCTATTAAAGGTGGCTACCAGTGTTTAGACTTTAATTTTCGAAGGCATCTGGAGAAGGTAAATATCCAGTGTTAGAGATGGACTTCTTTAAAGCTTTTGAAAATCTTGGCAAGAGTTGTTTGTTGTGAATAAACAGTGGTCAGACTCCAGGTCATGATTTTTTTGCAGACACATGGGTAAGCACTCATTAGTCCTAATTCTCAGTTTAGTGTGGTAAAGGAATTGCTTTAAATCCCTATGTGAAACTACTTTAACATGCAATAATTCGTAACTTTTGTAATGTAAATGCCTGGTATTTCACTTGTTTCTTTGTAAAACATGGCTTTTTGTTTTATTCTTGCAGAATGAAGGTGAAGATTTCAGCTATGTTATTGCATTTTTTCTTGGAACAGCAGCCTGTTTGTACCAGGTGTGTTTTTCTGTTTGCATAATTCACTAGAGTTTAGAAACATTACCCAGTTGTGCGTAAGTGTCATTACGTTTTCTTAAATGTCACAGACACTTGAATAGGGTGATAATAAAAAATATTTTCTGCTCTGTTTTTTTTCATTAATCATAAAGTATCGTGTAGTAGTAGATTGATACAAAGAGCTTCTGTTTGCCAGCATTTTTTCTCCAGCTGGATGATTAAGACATTTAATTAAGATAATTATCTCTGGAGTCACAAGCAGTGGAGGTTACATTATTTTCTTGAAATAATAGTTTCATAGTTCAAGTAGACTTAACCATCTGAATAAATTGCTTACTGCTTCTCCCTGATGGGCAGATTTAAAGTAAATACAGTAATACTTAAGCACAGCACCCTGGATACACTTTAATGTGTATCTTCCTTTTCAAAGCTTGTGGCCACTTTTCACTGATTTCCTGCCTGACACTTCCCCTTGTTTTTCTTGTCTTTCAGTATTCCATTTCTGCATCTGAATATTGACTTTCTGTTATAATTTATAGCAAGGTGCCTGCTGGCATCTGTCATTCAGTGACACTGCTGTTACATTAACCTATGTCTGTGTCTCTCATGCTCTCTCATGCTATAGTTGCTGTTACTATAATTACTTTGACTTTTAATCTTAGACTTGTGGAGTATGCAGGTTTTACTTGTTTCTGTGTGCCAGTGTTTAGTACTGTGTCAGACAATAATATAAGAAAATGCCTTTCTATCAGTCTTTTGTCCAGGTTATCTGTAATCTTCATACTCTACAATTTATCTCTAGCAAAGTGTCGCAAAACGTGACTTCTGTTCTTCAGCACTTGTTGACTATCCATCAACTTCTGCCTTAAATAATTTAGATTGATGTTAATTTTCCATGCCAGCAGTCTATTCCATATCAGATAAAGTAGAGCTCCTCCATTCTTTTTTCGTGTAAAAAATGCACTTCTTCCCTCCTCTCCTGAACTGGAAACCTTATTCTTTATAAAGTATTCATGTCTGTCCATTGAGACATGAGGATGTGTATCTTTCCTTCACTGTTTGCTTTGAACTGAGCTGTCTGAATGAAAGAAACCATGCAACTTGGAATGTAGGCTTTTTATTAATACTCAAAATACATCTATTGAAACTCTGTTTCCCACTGTCTGGTATCATTCCTGCAATATGTGATTGGTCAGTTTTCAGAAGTGAGGGTTGTTGGTTCTCTGGCAAGTTCTGATGTTCTTTGGCTACAGTTAAGAGCTCAGGACATTTATTTTCTGTGTTGCCCAACAAGAACGTTTCACTGACATTTCACTGTCATTCACCCACCAGGCATCCTTCATGCTGTATTGTCTTGTTCAGTTAATAACAATGCAGCGGTGTGTCTCTAGTTCCCAAGAAATGGTTAGAACTCAGGTATGCTGGCAAAAGAACAGGACTTACATGGATGTTTTAGGCTCACTGACAGTCTAGTGTTGATTCATAGTTTCAAGTCTTTTTTAAAGAAGAAAAAATAACAACAGTCTCAGTTGTACCAGAAGTGGAAGGTATCAGAAGCTGATCCTTCAGTCATTTCTTTACATTCATTAAAAAAAACCAAAATCAAAAATCAAAATCTTCTCTGAAGTAGCACAGAGGAGCCTTCTTCATAAAAGCATGCTCAGTATAACACTTGATGATAACATTTCCCTTTAGTAGAAGAAAAACAACCCTCAGGAGTTTCCTAACAGTACTTGTTACAGTAAGCTGTTAAAACTGTAGTGTTTTGGCCTTTTGACTGTTTTTTGGCCTTTTCATCTGTTCTGTAAGGGGCACATCCAGTAGTTCAGAGCTAGACCAATGAAAGATACACTTCAGAATTCATTTAAAACAGTTCTTTAGTAAAAGTCACAGTCATATGACATCATGTTACAGTAACATTTTTAAACTACTGTTTTCAGGCCTTTATTAATCATTTTGATGAAGCATATCTTGACTCTTATTTTAATCTTGGAAGCAGTCACACTTGTTCATACGTTGTCAGTGGAAGTGACAGCACTAGGAAATTATCTCAATTCTTACTGCTGAGATACCAGTACCAACTAATTGCTCTTTTAGATCTGCTTCTTGAATTTGTCAGCACAAGTAGGTTGCATTTACTCTGCTCAGAATGGCCAAGCAGGTTCAGAACACTTCTGTCTGGGTTTTGAAACATGCAGGTTATTCATCTCTAGTTTTATTTTGCTTTGGAGGAAGGACATATAAATCTTACTGATTGTGTCAGTCTCTGACAATACTTAGATATCCAGACACTTCGAGTAGTTTTGCTGCTCTCAGCTACACTTGCAGTGGAAATGCATGCTTTGTAATAAAAGTGGTAAGAGTTCAAATAGAATATAAAGTAACCTCAATAAATTGCATTGTTCAGTTGCCTTTTTTTTGAAGAACATGAAAAATGAAAAGAAAATTGAGTTTTTTGATTGATAAAACATGGCAAATGCCCAGGAAGAACAGAAATGGCACTTAGATAATCTGTTGATGGATGCTATTAAATATGTGTGACCATAGTTATAAATCCATTTGGAACAGATTTGGAATAGAAAGTAAGCATAAATACTATTGTTATCTACCTTAAAGCTCAGAGAAAAACTTCCTTCAGCAGAAATGACCTGATCAAGGGAAGGGACAGAGGATTTTTTTTTCATTTTGTAGCAGTTAAGGGAGTAGTTCAAACACGAGAAGAAATAAAAATAATGTCTGGGTAAAAGCTGTGTCCTTTTAGAGATAAAAACTGAGGCAAAAGACTTGAACAGATTTCCTGTTACAGTAGGAAGAAGGCTGAGTAGGGAACTGTGGGCAGTCCTGACAGACTGTGTTACAACACATTGTGCAGAACATTGCCTAAAATGTGCTAGAATTCCAGGAGAGTAGTTGTGTCTCTCCAAATGTGATCAGTTCTGCAGCAGACGAAGCAGGGCAGTGGGTGTGGGCATCTGCATCTGCCAGGTAACCCTCAGCATCACAGCATCACTTCTGGCAGGACACTGGGAGGTGTTTGGGGAAGTGCTTTGTGCTGAGCTCTGGGTCCCTGTCCTTCCTATTGCTTTCCTGAAGAAGACTGCTGTTGTTCCTTCTCCACTGCTTGAGTAGAGCAGAGTTTATTTTGACCAGAGATTGCCAGGAACATCCACTGTCTTTTGTCATAGGCCACTCATTGCAGGCTGTAATTAATTATTGTGAAAGAATTGTTCTCAGAGAGGGTTTAATGCAAGCAAAATGTAGCCTTGTATTGGTATCAGGTACTCTTCATCCTTCTATGACTGCTGAATTGATACTGTTCTTCCATGTCTGATTCAGACTTTTCCTTGGTTTGGGCTGTAAGTTTTCAGTGACCAGATTGTTTTTCTTCAATAGAAGTTATTTTCCATGAAGTAACCTGATTTCTTTTTTATTTCCTGACAGTGTTACCTGTTTGTGTACTACACAGGCTGGAGGAATGCCAAATCCTTCCTGACCTTTGGGTTGATCTGCCTGTGTAACATGTACCTGTATGAACTGCGCAACCTGTGGCAGCTCTTCTTCCATGTGACTGTGGGAGCTTTTTCCACCTTACAGATCCGACTGCGACAACCCCAGGGAAAGTCTCCTGATTACAATGTCTGACAAGTCCTGGAACATTGAGACCAAGTCTTGTTCCAGTAGTTACTCTCAGGAATGTAAAGCTGTTCTCCAAAAGAAGAAGCTGTCTGAATGGGGCTTTTTTTTTTTTTTCTTTTCTTTCTAATATATCAATGTAAGATGCCTATGGACATTTTACACTTGGTGGTTGAACCTTTTTTTAATTATTTTTTTATTTTCTTGAAAAGGACACAAAAGAATATGGGACTAGAGGAGGAAAGTGAAACATATCCATGCAGTGAAATGTATATGTAGAATATGACTGGTGGCATAAAAAAAGCTTCATTCATACATTCCTGGAGATAATCTGATGTGGAACTATCTGATGGTATTGCATGATCACATTATCTGATGGTAATGTGGAAATACATTTGTACATTAATGGAGGAATGTGTAGAGTATGTTCTGCATATCGTGCAAGCTTTTCACTTCCAAGGTCAGTTTTGCCTTTGTGAGGCAGTAGGGAATAGGCTAAATAATAATAATGCTATTGCATATTAGCAAACTAGATGTGGAATATGTAAGATACTAAATTTTGGAATGTTTTATTTTGCATTGAAATATATGTGAATGTTTTCTTAATTAAAATGTAACCTGGAAACTCAGTTTCTGGGGATTGGCTTCACCCATGGCACTCTTTCTTGTGCTGTAAGTTCTTTCATGTATTTTCATTTATGATTTTCTTTTAATTATTCTTTGACATTGATTTATGTAGATAGGGATAATTTTTTGTAATTATCCAAAAAGTTCTGCCACTGAATCCAGGATTCTTGCACACTTCATGTGTTTGGACTCTGGAAGGGTTGAAAGAGAACGGATTGGTGAGTAAATGGAGTGACTTGTACTTGTTGGATTATTGTTCTTTTTATATGTTCTTCCTTTCAGAAATGGATGAATAATTAGCTCAAACCTGAGACAGACAACTGGTGACAGGAAAATAATAAATCAGTCTGATTAGCTTAAACAAGAAATACAGGGATTGTGTTGATTCTTTGGGCTTTATGCGTTGGGTGTTTTTGAGCTGGGATAAAACCTCCGTGATCTAGTTGAGAGAACAATTGTATGCTCCCAAAGCTGGTGAATCAAACACAAGCCCCAACCAACCATACAAGACCACCATCACTTACATTGGGATTTTATACAACAGTTATTTATGATGTTCTATAATGTATAAATAGATGTAGGTTTTTATCTATAAGTTGTAATCAAGCCTTAATGGAAGAGAGGTCGCAATGCTTTTGTGTTGCTGGATTTGGAAATTGGCAGAGATCTGCTGTGCTATGAAATGCTGGCCCAGGCAAATTTTCTTGGGTATTTCATACCAAAATGTTATGTTTTAAAATAAGTTATTTAGTATCAGATATTATGACCAAGAAAAAAGGAACTGGATATCTTCCTTTTTAAATGATGGAGTATTAGTTAATAAAATTGTGCATAATGCAACCAAGAAGAATTAGAGGATGAAACTGCAATGGGAAGTGGTCTGTCTCAGACTGCTGTCTGAGGTGAAGCCTTTGGAGACCCCTTGATGTGCAGGCTTCAGGGCTGGTGCTTTGCAGTTAATTTTCTTCCCTCTCCACTTAGGGACAGGGAGGAAGGTGTTTATGAACATGAGCAGCAAACAGCCTTAGCTTAGTTCCAAGAATTGCTTGTATTAGCATCCAGTGCACCATTCTGAAATGGTGAAGAGCAGCCCTTTGCCATTTAAAATCAGTGATTAAAAAATAGAGCTATTATAAGTGTAAAACTAGGTTTTATTTTGCTTATAGTGTCTACAAGAACTCTTACACCTGTCTTTCCACTTCCACTGATAGGCAGGGAAGCTATTACGAATGCTTAATTTTTAACTCAGGTTGTTGTGCACATACAGATTTTTTTGTTGCATCATTTCTTTGGTTTATATGTTGGCAGAGAATTTTGTTTTCTCTGAGGCACTGTCCTTTCCTTCTATTCCCAAAGATCCATTTTTAAGGAATGAAAACTTCCTTTGTCATAGCATCTGGAGCCATTATTCCATTCCAGTTATGCTGGCATTAAACTAATTGCTGATTAGCAGGTATAATGAACAAATGCAACTGCCAGTATAACAGAAAACAGTTGGGGTTTTGTTTGCTTGTTTTTATAGCACTGATAAAATCCCATTTCACAATGAAAAGTTAATGAGCATGACTGTTCTTCATTATGTGGTATTACTAGGTGCTAAAAACATGGCTTCTTAGCATGTTTGAGTTTGACTGTAATATTAGAACTTGCTGACATTTTGGTATGAGATCAGAACCAAGATACAGCAGGCCAGGCTGGAGGTGAAAATTTATTGAAAATTCCCAGGATTTCCTTTCTGCTTACACAAAGTCAGCATTCAGGCAGGGGCTTCCCTGCTGATTTTACTGGGTACTTGAGTTACCGGACTTAGGAAGATGAATTTAGGAAAGCTGATTACTCTTGAACAGCAGGCTTTACTTCAGTATGAAGTGCAGATGGCCATTTGTGGTTGCTCAATTGTTCTGTGGGATTTAGTAAAAGCAGAGCCCATTTCATGCTGTATAGATAAAGGAAGATCTCCTGAAGGTTGGAATGGGTTCATCCAACACCCACAACAGAATGTTTATCTTTCATAAGGTGTCACTGTATTTGCTTTCAGGAAGGAATGACCAAAGGCTTGCCTGACTTACAAAAGGTAGGTATATAATGCCATTTCCAGTAGATGGCAATAGTTATTTGCATCTAAAATTCTCTGTTAAAAGATCTCTGGGACGAGCTGCTTACAGGGAAGCTCGCTGCAGCTGCTGTCCCCTGGAGCTTTTTATTGGAATGGCAGGGCCGTGCTGCCCCAGCCGCCCCTCGGAGTGTCAGTGCTGCTCTCCTGCTGCGGTAACTCGCGGCTGGCACCTGCTCTCTTCAGGGGGAGCCACGGGACAGGGCTGGCCCCAGCAGTGCGGCCACCTCACCTGCCCTGCAAGCCAGTGCCAGGGCACAGCAGGGCTTGCAGGGACTGAGAGGTGCTCAGGGACAGAAAATACATCTCTGCTTTTTACAGGAAACTACCTGGCTCCCAAATGGCAGGGAAATGTTGCTGCTCCTGCCCCCCATCCTGCTTGAAATTCAGTTTTCTCAGACTTCCCCCCCCACCTCCCCAGAGCCTACTTGCTCCTTCAGTTGCAAGGACAGTGGGTCAAGAGCATGGAAATTTGAGTTTTTTCAGCTTAAAACAGCTAAGCTGCCCTTTTCCCAGCAGCATCCCAAGCTTGCTCTCTCTGACAACTGAACTTCAGTCTGGAAGTGATGGTACTCTGAGGAGCACTTGGGAAACTTAACAGAATGAAAATATTTGTCTCTGGGCATAATTTTTGGCCAGGTGCTGGTGTCTGTGGATTGTTGTACAACACATAAACATCCAGGCTGGAGATATTTGTAGTGCGAGACACACATATAAGAAATTCAGTGTGTCTCAAATGTATCATTTTATTGTATGCAGGCAGATACTTGATGAAGCAAGATCTGTGTTGGGGGGAAGTGGCTAAACACCATAAAATTTATCAAAATGCTTTCTGGGTGGGAAAAACATACATTTGGGGAAAACTATTCAGCCAGTCTATGTAGAGTAATTTGAAATGAAAGGGCACAGAATTGGAGACTTCTCTCCCCCCAAGAATACCCTTCTCCAGATAGTTAAAAAAAGTTGCTTACATGCACTGTCCTAAACTGATTTTGTATGATTATTTAGGAGAGCATAGAAAGTATTAAATAGTTCTCTGCCAATTTTCATAAAGACTGATACCTTAAATACTTAATGGCTTTTTGTTCCTGCAGCTGTGTTCTCAGTACACTCATAAAATCCCTCCTAACCTGTAACAGATGCTAGGGCATTTGGTTTTTAGCTGCCTGTGTAATGTCTTCTCTACTAAAAGAAGTCAACTGGAAGCTGCATGGTTTTGTTTCTCAGTTCTACCTGAGGCTCCTGTTAATTGGTACAGTCACGTGCAATGTTTACTTTTACCTGTAAAGATCGAAAACGTTGTATTGGCAGCAGTGCTGCCTCCTTCCGGTGTCCTTGAGAGGACAAGCACTAAGGTACCTGGGGAATTCTTCAGCAAAGGTGATGTGCTTTTGAAAATACAAACTTTTTTTTTTTTTTAACAGTACACACACACACACACACAAATTTAAGATGTTCAGATATGCCAGTATATTTTCTCAGCTGCCTTGAGACTGATTCCAAGGGCAGTTTGGAGTACAAAAAGGATCAGGGCCATCCATCAGTGCCAGACAAGATCTGGATGTTTCTGTTTGCAGATCCAGCATCTCCTACACAACTCTCATCCCACCAGGCAGATGCAACTAAAATAAAACAGAGACACTTTACCAGTGAAACAGTGTTTAATATAGTTAAATTACTTAAATAGATTTCAATTTCCATGGGAAATCATAACTGTATCCATTTTTGCAAGGTCCAGAGTAAAGAGTGTGTGAATACCCCTTGAAATGATCATGACACACTGTCAACAATCACAGCTAGAGATACTGGGGACTTGAAATTTCATTGACAACACAACTTCATAAGATGAATCAAAAGTTAAGAAGACTGCAGACTTTTGGAAAGCAGAAAGCAAACCTAAAACCAAGTGTATGGCATGAAGGTAATGAAACTCGGTGAGGGACAAAGGGGATGGGAGGTGGAGGAGGGGAAAAAGGCATAACAGCATGATGTAACTTAAGTATTTTGCAAACCAGGAAGGATGTAAAGGAGCAAAAGTATAGTACAAGGGCAGACTTGGCAGTTTTACAGAAGTCAATATACTATACTTTTCAGAGATGTTTCCTAGTGGAAGGGAGAAGGAAAGGGGCATTGCCATTTAAGCTCATGTTTAAATGGCTTAATGCTCAGGTCATGCTTAGCAATAGAGCAAATTAATTAAGACAGGTCCATGGATTTTCACTTATTCTCATTGTTGAGTAGGAAAAAGAAATCGCCACCACCATAGTGCAATCATTATGCTGTGAGTACTACAATAATTCTGCCCTGAGAAGAGTGGAAAACTAGTTTATTAAATGTCAAAAGATTGGAGTGATTTTTAGTGCTAGCCAAATTCAATATCAAAACTTTCCCCTCATAGAATATAAAAAATATAGCTTTTTTAAAATTATTTTCTTCTTTTAATAAAATATCAAGGGATTTTTCTTTCATAGTTAGAAAAGGTACATAAATGATAACAGTGAACTATTCAGAAACCCCCCCCACTAGTGATAAAGATGCCCAACACAGTATCAATGGCACTATTTTAAGGTCGACCACCTCATATACACACTTGTCATCATAATAATTTTTGAAGATCACCTAATTCCTGAAAATTGAAAATCTGTGAATCAGTTTAAATAAGTGCTTACTACAGGAAAGTCAACTCGATGATGCAGCACATAGTTCCTTGTAATGTCACACGGCAGTTACAACATCAGACAACTCTCAGATCAGCAGGATTCTATTAAGACCATCTATGAAAAATTATGCTTTTAAAATAAAAGTTCAAATGAGCTTTTTTTCCTTTTCTCATAAGAGCCCCTGGTAATAATTAGAAGGTTTGGTTAGAGCTCTTTTTGACATGTTTGATACATCTCAGTAGCTAAAACTCAAAGGTCCCATTTCCATTGGGAAGCCGCCACCCTCCGCTGGAATGCTGCACGGAACAATTCTGTGACTACCGCGGGTTTTTCCTCTTCTTTGGGGTTGTAGATTTTTCTGGATTTTCATTTTAAAATGCATCTGATTCAGCCTGGAAACTCACCTGTTTGTTGTTGGTTGATTGTATAGTGATAATCTGAAAACTGCCAAGTCTGTGTTCAGAGTATTACACAAAAAAATTACACAAAAGTCTACAGGTTATATACACCTCCCCCCACACCTCGGTGTGGACAGCCTGCCTTCTAATTTATATATAATTTACAAAATATAGAATTTGGTATATCTGTTAGATCT